CAATGCTAATCTAATGGTCGCATAATTTTCAGTGTACTTACGCTACTCAACATCATCAACGTTGTAATACCCTGAAACCGATATGAATGAGCCGATCTGATTCGAAGTGTCACATTAGAGCCATCGAAGAGACCCACAATAAAAATACCTGAAAAATAAAATTTTTACCTAACACAATTTAAAATAGTAAAACCATGTCAGAATAATTACAAAGTTTAGTAAATAATAAATAACAAAACAAATCATCGACTCTCATATACAGATAAAATATAAACTACATGTCCCCTAATTATACAACTATTGTACTCTACAACACGAAGAAACTCCATTACTGATGTTGATAACCACACAAGATTGATTTTTTAACCTGAAATGGTGAGTAACAGAGTGAGCTTTGGGAAAGCTCATTAATACAGAACTACATAAGATGCTCAAGGACAAGCAGATAAATGGAAAAACATAAAACTAGCTTATTGATCTAGGTATATACAAGTTCTTGTGATGAGTTAAGTTATACTAATATTTCTTTCGTTAATAGACAGAAAGCTCACAGTTCAGAGGAAGAGATTCAGGAGATTCCCACAAAACCAGAGTAAATAAAATCGTAATTTAAAAATAATAATAATTTATTTTTTAAAACATATCTTTAAAAAACAGTAATACCCTCTACTCGAACACTCCATATTTAGTTCCCCATAACTGCATCCATAAGGACTTACCCTACGCACATTGGGTGTAGGAGCCAACCTAAGGGAACACCTTGGGTCCATAAGGACTTATCCTAGCCGAAGCGTAGGAACACCTGAAGGGAGTGCCCCAAGGTCTATAAGAACTTACCCTAAACACAAAGCAAATGAGCCACCCCTGTGGAAGTGCCATAGGGTCCAGAAGATCTTACCACGAGGCCCATTGAGCCAAGGAGCCCACCCAAGGGTCACCTTAGGTTCGTAAGGAATTACCAGCCTAATTGGGGATGAACCTTCATAACTCTATAACAAATCCTAATAGTAACCCCTTATAAAAAAGATCATACAGATAGTAAACAGTAACCAGTAATTCTAGAGATCAGAAGCCAAATATAATATATATCATAAAGTAGTTATCAGACTCATACATTTTATAAACAGAGAAACATCTTAGTGCATGGGGAGAACACTAGAGGATTTAGATATTTTTCGGAGGCACTTGGAAGTTATCGGGAATAAAAAAATGAACTTATATAAAATTGATCGGATTTCAGGAAAGCTGTTCATATTTAAATAGTTTGATTACTAACGGAGCTAATTATACTTTTAGAGATTGATTCTTCTGGATCATATAGGATTGAAGTGTATCAGGAAAATATTCATAACATTTACATCAGAATAATTCCAAGATTTCAGATATAACTACGGCGATTTCATTATTTAGGCCATTATGGGTATTTCAGACATTTTGATTTCCTTAAGAATTCAAAGTAACTTAATCCAATAAGGGTAAAATGATGATTTAAGGTATTTAATATTCATGTCGATTTTCTCAGGATATCGAGTCAACTCAACCTGAACAAACCCCATCAGTACGATACATGGTAATCATTCGGACTGAGATATCTTACAAATATTTACTTTTTAACACTAACTGTGATAACTGATCTCATCACCTCCAGAGTCCTAGCTAAACAGTTCTTGAAGAACTGAACTAGTATTTCAATGGTAGTTATTCCATTTATTTATTGTAATAATTTTCATGGTGACCAATGTGCTTGGGTCATCTTAATAATCTTTATGGGTCATTACAATATTTAATGCTTTACTGGTACTTTGAGAACTTATCCGCAAACATTTCCTTAAGTCTAGATGTGAAGATATTTGGGTCAATTCAGGACTCGGGGTAATTTTAGTCACTTTCGGACTTGAGGGTATTTCAATCATTTATGGTCCAAAGGCAATTTGGTTATTTCATTCAATTCTACCCTTAGCATTACTTACGATAAGTTAGTCTTCATGTTATTTATTCAAGAACCATATTTCTATATCTTTTTACAACACAAGGGCATTTTTCATATTTTATTATCCAATTATTATTGGCACTTAACCTTTAAAGAAAATAATCTAAATTTATAGATCTTGAAGTCGATTACTGATCCTGAATTCTTCCTTATCGGTATTCTAATTCCTTATGCAAGTCATCCGAGTCTTATTCAATATACCAACTTTACACCATAATCAGTTCGAGTCTTAACCACTTTAATATCCTTTTGCCATATTTAGTACGAATTTAAGCATATTAAACAGAATTTGACTTGTATTTTAAATCATGCATCAGTCAATTACTAACATGTATCGTAAAGTGTGCATAGGGTAGTAGAGTATTACCTTGGTATTCATGTCACATCGATCGACCAATTAACTTCTATTTGATCACCCTTGAACATAAATTCAAGATAAAATCTTCAAGATAGTTCTCAATCATATCAGAGAAAATGGTCGTCATACAACGGTGGAATGTTTTTGGAGCATTATATAACCCTAATAGTATTCTACAAAAAACAAAGATGCCATACGGGCATGTAAAAGTTACTTTCTCCTGATCTCTAGAGCTATAGCAATTTGGTTGTAATCACTATATCCATCCAAAAAAACAATAAAAAACATTGACAGCAAGTTAAACTAACATTTGATCTATGAAGGGCAATAGAAAATGGTCTTTCCTCGTTGCTTTATTTAGCTTTCTATAGTCCATACACATCCTCCAACCAGTGGTGGTTCTTATCGGCACTAATTTATTCCTATCATTTGTCACTGCATTAATGTCACCCTTATTTGGAATGCATTACACATGACTAACCCAATTGTTGTCCAAAATTGGGTATATAATCATAGAATCTAACCATTTCTTAATCTCCTTTTGAACCACTTATTCATGATTGGATTTAATCTTCATCATGTTCGATCGAGCTACTATTGGGATCCTCCAAAAGAATTTTGTGCATGCAAAATGATGGACTAATGCCTTTTATATCAACAATGCTCCATGAAATAAATTTCTTATAATGCTTCAACACATCAATCAACTGATTTCTTGTGATGATGTAAGTTGTGCTGCCGCAATGACGGGCAATGTCTCATTTTTTACAAGATAAGAATATTTCAAATGCTTTGATGGTTCTTCAATAGACGGCTTCAATACTAGAATGATATAATCATGTACTTGCAAATGTTCTATGCACTTGAGATACTTTCTACAATATTCGGCTCCTTCATTAATAAGAAATTCCTCAAATGCTTCGAAATAACATAAATTTCTAACTATGCTATAACATTCCTCCAAATACTCATATGAACAAATATCTATCACGTCAAGTGAAAAACAGTCAACATTTTCATTGATGTAAGAAATATTATTCAAGTCACTAAAAGTAATATATCATCATTCAAATGCATAGTCAATTCTCCCTTTTTAACATTATTCAAAGCTCGGCCTATAGCAAGGAACAAGCATTCAAGAATAATTAGAACATCTTTGTCCACTTCACAACCGAAAATGAAGAAATCCATAGGAAAGATAAACTTGTCTACTCGTACAAGCATGTTTTCCACAATGCCACTAGGATGTACGGTGGAGCGATCATAAAGTTTTAAAGTAACCATAGTGGCCATTGCTTCGCTACTCCCATATTTCCTAAGATTGACAATGGTATTAGATTTATGCTAGCACCTAAATCATATAAATCTTTACCAATAAATGTGTCACCAATGCTACACTGAATAGTGAAACTCCTTGGATCCTTAAGCTTTGGTGGCAATTGACTTATAGCCATGGCACTATAGCCTTCCGTAAGAGCGACTGTCTCAAACTCACCAAGTCTTCATTTCTTCGAAATAACTTCCCTCATGAATTTAATATAATTTGAATTTTTCTCTAAAACATCAATCAATGGAATGTTCACTGTAAGCTGAAGAATTATATTAATGAAAAGCTTTGTATTGATGGTATTTTTTTGCCTTCAAAAAGCATTGCGGAAAAGATGGAGGTAATTTTATTTGATGTTGCTGAGGAAATGGAGTCGAATCTGCATTAGATGCATCAAGGATTACTGTTGGTAATGAGTCTGTTTTACAGCTCTGCCAAATATTTGCTGCTATGAATTGACTCACATGCAGATCAGGCTCCGTCTCTTTGCTCTTCCTTTTACTATGTTGATGAGCATCCTCATTCTTTTTATGCGATTCTTCAACTGAGTTTCCAATATGACTTCCACTTTTTGTTGTAATGGCAGTACAATGTTTCTTACCATTTTGTTTAGGATTCTCAGTGTCACTAGGCAGGATCCTGGTAATCGATTATTTAGAGCATTAACTATTTGTCCCATCTGATTCTCAATAGCCCTTATTGAGACAGATTGGCTTGCGATATATTCTTTCATCATGGCTTCAAAAGGTGTCAAGGTTGAAGTTTGGTTTGAAGATTGGCCATGGTAGTTCTGCCTTTGCTTGACTCTACTGAGTGTAATGTTGCAACTAATATTACTGATGTTGTGGATTGGCAACATTCTAACTTCTCCAAGAAAGATTTTGTTGATTTCCAAAATTCAGATAGTATATATTTCCAAAAGCATTATCAATCATTGGATAATTCCTCATAGTAGATAGACTCCATATTTTGGGGGAATTCATCAAAATTGTGATCATCACCGTAATATACGCAAGTAATAAGGGATGCGGCTTTGACTTCATATATTCCTCCTATATTATGCAAATTTTCACCATTTCAATCAATATTGAAATATAAGATGCCATAGAGTTAAGAGCTTCTTAGTCTATTGTTGCAGCAACGCACCGACAAAATGTATTACATGTATTAGGGTATTGGCAATCGTTGGTGGAAATTCTCTCAAGAATATCATATGCTTCATTGTATGTTTTATCCATCAAAGCTTTGTTTACTTAGGCATCAACCACCATTCGAGTGTGAATACTTAACATATTATAAAAATCTCCATTTGAGTCTAATATGTGAACCCATGCATAGGACACTTTCACAAAAAAATCCTTGAATATTTCCCATACTTCATTCAAGCTTTCATCATCCATATGCTTCAATGAGGTTAAGTCATTTCTAAGCTTAGCATTATATTCGGTGGGTTGAATCGCAACAAGAAATTCTACGCTAATTGATTCCAAGATGCTATAGCACATGGCGACAATGAACTCAACCAAGCTCGTGCTATATCACTAATGAATAGGGAAATAGCTTTAGTTTCAGGGCCTCCTCTGAAATGCCTTGTTGAATAAAATAATCGAAAACCTCCATGACAGCTTGAAAATGGGCTCTAGGATCTTCAACAATAGAACCTCAATATTGTCAAAAAGATTATAAAATTTGGAACATACATGTCTTTAATTTGAAGTTCGTAGCATTAATAATTGGTCTCACAATGCCCAAATGCAAATCATCCAATGTCAGTACCACATGCTCACAAATAGGGTGATTTCTATCATCTACATTCTGATATGGTTTCTCATCTCCAATGTCATAACAACTCATCATTATCTCCATTCTGTAGTGAGGGTAAAATACCCTTGTCTAGCCATACAAGCTTCATGGCGATATCTGCAAAATGTTTTTTCAACTATGGATCAAACGGCTCTAATTCGTTGTCACTTCAGGACATACACTAGTAAAAACAAAGACTAAGAAATATACGAAAAAAACAAACACGCAAGCAATATTAAAATAAATCTAAATCAAACTTATGCTCCTTGACAAAGGTGCTAAAAACTTAATGCTACGAAAATGCTATAGCATACAACTAAAGTAAACGCATCACAAATCATGTAGTAAAGTAGAAACTATGAGAGTTTCGGATGTCAAACCCATAGAAAGCATATTGTTTTCATTATAGGTTTTAGTAGCAAAATGTATCAAGGAAATGAGATACTAGTCGAAAGTAATGAAATCAATTACGAAAAGTACCAGTTCATGCTACAATATTCTAGAACGCAATTGGTCAGCTATGAAATCAAATAATAAGATATTATGATTTCCAAATTTTGTGAAAACATGATATACTTAGTCGATGTGATTAACATTAATTAAAACCATTTGAACAAATTTAATAACTTTCATTAATTAAAGATTCAAACTATTAATAATGTTAATCTAATGGCTACACACTTTTCAGTGTACCTATGCTAATCAGTAAAACCAAATCTCACAAATGTATATATTAATTTGAATGAAAATATTTCCAAATTCAAACAAAAACACTATATATTTAATTGCAAAATATTTATACTCATAATCATGAAGTTTAAAGCTCGTAAACCAAATAAACGAGTAAACACAAAATATGAAGTTCATAATAAATATCAAAAACAAAGTTTAATCATTCAAATCACTCCCTTTCTCTATAGAAGGAATTGAACATGATCTGTTGAGTGATGAAGCTCCTTAGTAAGCTTTCTTTGTGCTGCAACAATCCCTGACAGAGGATTTAGATGCCCATGCTTGAGAAGAAATAACATGGAAAATGGTATTTTGGATCTCTGCCAATCGTCACACTTTTTGCACCAAAGTACTCTTCTTTTATAGCTTGAAGAGAATTCCATTGCCCACTAGGAAAGGTGCACATTTTAGGTATTATCCATCCACATGAAAGCTACCCGAGCCAGTTGTCCCCATCTAGAAGGTTCTAAAGCTTAGACGACTGCAACATCATTCGATCAACATTTTCTGCAATGCTAAAACATCAGTTAAATAGTTTGCAGCAACAAAAATAAATTTTAACCCTTAACAACCCACAATGCTCTTATCATGCAGAATGTGCGTTAAGTGAATTTAATCCTAATACACTTCTAAATATGCTTAAGTTTAAACTAAACCTATGCAATTAAGGCTACCAAATAGAACTCTTTTAGAGAGTTATCATTATGATATAGAAGCATTGAAGGCGATGGTGGCTTTACGAGGTAGTAGTGAGATGATTATTACACTGACGACCTTGCTTCGTTGATCTATGATCAGTGAAGAAGAAGGGGAGAAACAACAGTACATGGAAGAAAAAAGGAAAAGGGAAAAGAGAGAAAAGAAGAACATGTGATTGAGACATGACATAGAGCCATGAAATCGTAACGTAAAATAAATAGGGAAATTATATCACAAACCCCTATACTCTTTAGGGTTTTGAAATGGCCAAAAGATTTGTATTCTTTGCACAATGGTCATTAAAATTATTTCCATTTCAATTTAACAACTAAAATAAATTTCGAGATTCGAATGAAAATTCAAAATTCTATGGTTTTAAATTTAGGGGAAAATTAGGATGTTATAACTTTTTTGGGTGTAGCCTTTTTGTATCAAATCTAACTCTTTGGTTTCTTCAGATTTTTGCCTCATTAGGTATGAAAGAACCTAGAATTAGATTGTTTTAGTGTCGTTTCCCTCTTTCTAGTGGTAATTTGTTAGGTGGATCACTTAATACTTCTTGAAAATATTATAAGAAAAATAAACACACTAGGAAACTTGTTAGATTAGTAGAAATCAAAAAAATTGAGTCATTGAAATGGATAAGGACACACGACTTGTTTTGAAAAAAGGTGTCTCTCAATTTTTGTGTGCTCATGATGCTATTTTTTCTCACAACTAGGTTCACTCACCTCCCTTGGGTTATTTATTTGGCTTTTATGGGTTGTGACCTCTTTTTCTTTTGCCTCTTTCTTGAAATTCCCAAACTCCACACAAATACTCTTTTTATCTAGTAGGATATATTTCCAGTAACATCGACTCAAGATTGTAAGTGATATGATCGCCAATAGCAAAGACCCGAAGAAGTACCCAAGTGGCCCCATCATACGGCAAGGGCTAAAGAGTTTCAAGCAGCCATGGAGAGTATGTTTACATCAAGTTTGGAACTTGATGAAGGAGGAATAATAAGGGAGGAACACTTTACGTTGCTTATGCATGAATTTGCATGAGAATTTAAAGTTTGCATAACATTCACTGCATTTAATAAGTGTGTTGTTCATTCAAGCATGCATTGCATTTAAATCATCTGGTTCATTTAGGGAAGTAGTTCATTAATTAAACTAGTTCGTTTATTAAATCAACTCTTAATTGTTTCATGCATGTTTTCAATTAAATATTGAATAAAGTTCACCTTTGTGTCTATGTGCATGAGAGAAGATGAATGGTTTCATCATATGCAAGAATCCAATTAGAATGTCTTCCAATTATGGATGCAATACAGATGTGTTTGGTTCTAGAAATTAATTGATAATTATTCCTCTATCTCTTAGCTTTCCAACGCATTTTGAATCACCTTAATCCAATATCGAAAGATTGAGATATGATCGATTTATTGAAGATAGTGCAGGATGGAATTTTGTTACGGGAATTTTATGCATGGATGATTTGGATGAGTTTGAGCCAAGGGAGAGTCTTTTCAACTTCATCCAAGTGACATGCCATTCAAGGACTCTTAATTCACCCATTCAAGGTATTCAAAGCTGATTGTTATCATCTAAATTCAAGGGTTGTTCATATTCTTCAAGGGAGCATGCAATGAATGGTGATTTAATTCACTTGTTAAAACAATTTTTAAGCATGGAATGGCAAGAGTCTTCCAACCCTTGGACAAAATTAAAGCCAAATTCAGATTCAAATTGTCTAGATTCATCCCCAAAATGATCTAGAATATTCAGCCAACCTTGAAGATAAGAAAAAAAGCATTCGAGTGCATTTTATTGCTAAATTGATGAGAATGTTTTCAACTTTTGAGTCATTTCATATGCTACTTAGAAACACTATAAATAGGCACTTTTGGGATCCTTTGTAGACACACATTTGAATATATAAAACATATTTGAGAGGTTGCTTTCATTCTTGTTCTCTTGTAGAACTTTATCGGCTTCAAGATAGTCTTGTAGTCTTCATCCATTTCGTTTTGTTATAGCGTTGGTTCCTAGCTCATCTATAGCTAGTGGGTCACATTACATACCCTACCATTTCGATTCCATCTTTTTATATTATTGGTTCTTAGCTCCAAATAGCTAATGGGTCACAATTTGTTTTAACCTTACAACACTTTCCACGACAACACCATTCATACCTCACCATCTATTTTAATTATCATTAAACCACAATAACCATTACTCTTCCTCATTCTTTTCATTCCATCATTTCAATTATTATTTCATATCATTTCCTTCTTATGTTTATATTTATGCAATTTTAGAGTTTAAGCTATCATTATAGGGTTTCATACTAGAATCACGATCGGGCATTCATATATATGACTCGAAATATATAATCGAGATCATATCATTTGGCATCAGAGCTAGCTGATTCAGTAAGCATGTCAATTCAATTTCTCTCTCCCGAGTTGGTAAAAAATCAAAAATAAAAAAAACAAAAGAAAAAAAAAGTTTAAAGAGGGAGGGAGTAATTTTTTCATCTTTAAATAAAAAAATTTACTTCATATTTATATTCAATTATTCAATTATTCAATTTGGTTAGCTTTACTTACGATCTATATTCCTTGTAGCCAATTTTCTTTCACTATCCTTACTACCAAGCCACAATTGTTTCAACGAAGTCCACTAGACCTTGTAAGCCTTAAGGAAGTTCCCAAAAGAACTTGAAATCAAAGCACGAGTGGAAAAACACAAGAGTGATCATTAAGGGTAAAAGCAATCCCGAGAGAAACACAAGTGGGAGTGACTTTTCTTGGAGTGTTTGGTGAGGGTTTTTTTGTGAGGTTATTTTTTTATAACTAATTATGTCTCATCAATCGAGAGACAATTCTCAAGTTATAGGTAACATGAACTAAACCATGGTGTGTGAATTGACTAGGATTTTTAGGGAAGAGTTAGAACCTCTCCATGAATGTATTGACCGTATTGAAGAGGAACGTACTCAAGGATTCTGAGAGCAAGAAGATGCCAATCAAGTAGGAAATTAAGAAGTGGAAAGACCAGAAGAAGATCATGCATCACAATAAAGAATGGGAAATCGAGGTTTAAGGCCCCAAAGGTTTCGTCCATTAATGGATGATAATCTTGTAAATATCAAGATTTTCATTCCAACATTCAAGGCAAGACAAATCCCGAGGCTTACCTAGCATGGG